GGTCTAACTTTATAGAAGGTGCACTGTCGGTCTAACATATAGAAGATTCAGTGTGGGGACATAGGATTTCTTTAATTTTTATTAAGTTTTAATTCATGGAAATTGTTTTTTGTCTTGTCCTTCAGTACTACAGTTTTTTATGGAGTTAGAAAACTCCTTAAAAGCTTGCAGGAAAGACTTCATCAATATTTGCTGTTGCCTAACAATACTTGGAAGAAGAGCTAACAACTACAAAGTAACTGAACAGTTTTCATTAGAGTGCTAGGTGACTTACTAGCTAGTTCTTTACAATCTCCTCAAATTACAAACCACACTGTGGACCGCTGTCATCGCTCAGCAGACTGCACTGTTACACCACGTTCCACAGGGACCACCTCGCACTTCTGCAGAGGAAGAGCCTTCACATTTAAAGAGGTTGTTAATGGCGGTGCTGCCACGTCACACTAGAATCCTGGCTGGGAGAGAACAACTGCTGTCTGAGTGGACAGGATAGTCAGAATACACTCGGAGTACTTAACTGGGGAACGCCCTTGGCACAAGGGATGGCGTGCTCTGGACTACACTGCACATTAATTCCTTGAAGGAAGCAACAGAAGGTCAATATCATAAACAGGGAGTACTACTACTGCTTGGGTAAGTTATGAAGTACTTTGTATAACACACAAGGAAAAACAAGTACTACTCATACCACTTTATTTACATTGTATCTGTTACATTGTTTATTCAATATAGAAAAAAATAGGAATACATTCATAGTATTCTCTTTTAATTTGGTAAGTCCATGTTGTCAAATATTGACTATTTTTATATTGGGTGTCCTACCCAATTAAAAAAAAAATAAGAGAATGGACCTAGCCAACAACTCTTACGGCCTGTTATTGATACAACAGTAAAACCTAGTTCTCTCTTTAATCCTAATTCCCAAAAGACAAGATAAAACTACTGGTTACTCTACTGGCTCAGGAATATGGTTTTAAAAGTACAAACAATTCATTCTTTCCCCCAAGGAAATGTTTAAGATATACATATAAACACCCCAGTGACCAAGGAGAAAATATATTTATAAAAGCGTCATACAACAAGAAAACTCAAGAGGTCAGTCCCACTGCAGTGGATACACATGTCCAAACTGAAGTGGGGCTCAAGTGTTAACATAATCAGGCTAGAGAAAAATCCACACTGAGAAATCAGACTTTCTTTTAAAATTTTTTACAAATAAGATCAATGATTATCTCTTTTGGACATAATACTTCATTAAATGGGTCAGACTTACAAATTAATACTACAAAATACAGTATTTTCCATTACTTTTAGTTGTAATGTACACTATGTACAGAAAGTTGCATATCTTAAGCTGAATACAGATGGACAGCATTTTAAAAACCAGAATCTGGACTTATAAATAGTGCAGAAAATGCAAATGCCAAAAAAACGATGCCTCCTATGATTGTCACTGGAAAAAAGAAGAGAGAAGAGTGAGGTAGCATGTCTTCTTCCACTGGGACATTCATTAGCAAACAAAAACAAGTTCCCATTTTTTCTACTCTCACCAACTACTGAGAATGTCGTGACAAAGTATTCCTGACTCACTCTTCCCCGATACCCAGACCTTTCTCTGGGCACTGCTTAGAGAAAGACTTAAACCGTTGGCAAGCAGCAGGACTACAGGAGCTCATCTTTTTAAAAACTCAAGTATATTCAGGGGCAGGATGGCGGCTAAGCACACAGAGGTGCTGCTGCCAAGCCTGAGAGTCGATGCTCACAAGCCTCAGAACCCAAACTGCCTTTCAAAGTCGAAAATGGGTCCCTTCATGAACACACTTCAGGCCAAACTTCACATTTACACATGCGTTCTTCACTGGCTCAGAAGATGTTTGGCCATGTTTTAGATAAATTTGTGATTTACTAATTTGTACACACGGGAAGAGAAGTCAGTTTGCATTAACAGGAAATGAATATGCAGGCCCAGGTGGTGAGCACCAAGACCAGGTCATCTCTGGAAGAGATGATCAAAGCTAGCACACCATTTCTATTATCTGTCATCTTCAAGCATGAGAACATGTTTGCATTTTAATTAAAAAATAAGGCCTTACCTGTTCTAACAGATATTTTCTGTGCTATCATCCTTCCTCCAATTACTGCCAATCCAGTGCATAAGCAGTGCCCCACTGTTCCACCCACTGCTACACCATAGGGATCCTGGAAGCAGATGCAGCTCGCGTTAATTTGTTAAATTGGAGATGCTGTTTGAGAAACATCAGTATGAAGTAGAACTGAAAATGGGTCATGAACCACATATCATAAACTCTTGTAAAAATCCAGATAACTCAATAACTTTATGAAACAGGAAGTAGCTGCTTCAAGGAATATGTATTATATATTTCATGTTTTGACAAATAAAGCTTGCCGTTCAGAGAAGCAAAGCAGCCAGCCACCTCTATGAATCCTCAGAATGAATGGGTGCCGAGATCCTGTCTCCACCCGCCTTATATTCCGGTCTCTATCTCCCTAGTGCTGGGATTAAAGGCCTAAGATCCTAAATGCTGAGATCAAAGGTGTGAGCCACCACGGCACTGCTATTTCTTTTTTAGACTGAGTCAATCCTATGTAGCCTAGGGTGGCCTTGAACTCCTGATCTTTTTGTTTTCTCCTCCCAAGTGCTGGGAGACCACTGCCTGGTCTCTATGGTTAACTAGTGGCTAGCTCCACCCTCTGGTCTCCAGGCAAGCTTTGTCAGTACACAAAATAACATAACACATATGGACAGTACAAGGCTAGATGTGAACTGTAGTGGGTAGCCATTCCAGCTTGGATCTGGAAGTTCCAACCCCCACTGAGACTCTGGCAACTGTCACACCTATGAGGTGGGGCCAGGAGAGGCGCCTGGAGACCCCAGAGCTGGATGGGCCAGCGCTCTCTCTGTGCGCTCTCTCTGTGCCGGGACCCTGAACGGTGGAGATGCACCAGAGAACACCGCTGGACTGCGATACACCTTCCCCAGACCCTGCGACCTACCTTTCCCTTTTTGTAAGTTACCCACTAAATAAATCTTCCTTTTAACTAAGTGGAGTGGCCTTAATAATTTCACCAATATCTGGCGCCCAACGTGGGGCACGAACCCACGACCCTGAGATTAAGAGTCTCATGCTCTACCGACTGAGCTATCTCAGGTCTCCAGGTGCCTCCCCTGGCCCTGCCTCATAGGCGTGACAGTTGCCAGAGTCTCAATGGGGGTTTGAACTTCCAGATCCAAGCTGGAATGGCTACCCACTACAGTGAATATAGAAATTTTGTATGGTACAGTATTGATGTGCTTCCTGGGAGCCAAAATCCTGCTCCATAACCCTTGTGCTTTTAGCTCGAGGTAAGGAATAAATACTACCAGAATGAACTGGAAGGTATCAAATTGGTGGAGCAGTGAAAGCTTTCCAGAACAGACAGACCAAAAGAGTAGGTGAGAACCCCATGTATCTCTTGTGGAGGAGGAGAGTCAAGGAGGCCCCAGAGAGGAGTCTTGAGAGGAGTATATCAGGAAGGGTGGGAGCAGGGATGGAGTATAGGGTTATAGGTTGGTGCTTGACTCCTGTTTCAGAGGTCAAGGTTCAATCCCTAGCTACAAGGGATCCCTATGAAGTATTAAGTCAGCCTTGTCTTGAGACAATAGCTAGTTTTAACACAAGTGGATTTCTGCTTTCAGTGAAGACAAGGAACTAGAAGACAGTAAGACCAAGGAGGCATAACAACCCTGGTATGAAACAGTGCTGACTGGACTGGGGTAGGAGACGAAGAAGAAAAGCAGATGAATGGGAAGGCACATTGGATGCTATGAAAGCAACCAGCTGTGACAACCAAAGAACCAAATAGCCATGGTATTGCTGATGTGGTGAAAAAGACCAGAGGCTCATTCAGTGGTTAGGAATACTTGTTGCTCTTCTTGAGGACCAGAATTTCAACACCATGTCAGGGGGCTCAGCACTGCCTGTAACTCCATTTCCAGGGGATTCAATACCCTCTTCTGGCTTCTAGCACCCACATACATGTGGCACACACAGATTCACATAAAGTATGTTTTAAAAGAAGCAGAGGAATAAATTATGGGTGCTGGCAAATTAAAATTGGAGTATATTCAGTTGAAAGCTAAGCACTGCACACTCGTAATCTCAACATTCAGGAAGCTTGGATAAGAGGATTGTCTGAGATTCAAAGCCAGCTTTGCTTAGCTAAAGCAAGTTCCAGCCCAACCTGAAGTACAGAATGAGAATTGCCTTTCAAAAAAGGCCAAATTTGATAGTAAATAACATCATCTGAGGGAGTATGTATAAAAACTCATAGGAAAAAAGCATGGACAAGTCGACCACGACATAATCAACACGATGGAGACTGCCAGGTAGTTGGCCTCAACTAGTCTCAGCACTGGTGAACATCCGTCATGTCTGTGATAAACTGGGAAAGACAACTGAAGGGTAGTGGGTTTATTTGGGTTCACAGCTCAAGAGAAGAGTTCATTGTGGTGGAGGCCATGAAAGCAGGAACTTGAGGCAGCTGGTCACTAGCATCCACATTAGGAAGCAGTGGTGCTGAATGCTTGTGTGCAGCTCACTTCCTCCTTATACTACTGTCCAGGGTCCTAGGCCAGGGAATGGTGCCTCCACCCATAAGTGGGATCTTCTGCCCTAATCTAGTCAACATAATTCCCATCTCGGCTGACTCTAAGATCTCAAGTTGATAAAGGATCAACCATCCATCCCACCCTGTGAGGTCAGCAGCTGGGGGGTAGAGCTGTCCTCTTAACCAACCATAATCATGCTCTTTGGAACTCTGGGAAGGAAAGAGTAGGATAAGGGACAGAAGGACCAAAGAACAGGGCTGCATTTCCCCTAAAGACAGAGAGGAGGGGACAATGAAGAAAATGCTCCGAAAATTGAGCTGGACAAAGGCAAAGATTTACACTGTAAGGGAGGGTGGGACCTGGGGTCCAAGACTGCACTGTGTTTGGTGGGGATGAAGAGAGCGGAGCAACAGGTCAGCAGCCAGCTGCTGTGAGTGAAAAGGCAGCGTATATCCAGTCAGGAATCAGAAATGGCCTGAGCATGTGCAGGAGAATGTACTGCCACCAAACTACTACCCCAGAAGACTACTTCATTCCATCTGAAAATAAAATGAAAATAAAATGGTACTTTTTAAATCAGTGGGTTAAATAAAGTTATTTGAACAAGGAAAAAATGCTGTTAACTTGTATTAATGGATCCTTCAAAAGCAAAACAGCCTATTTTATACAAAGGAGGAGAGTAGTTTTAACATGTGAGTACTCTAATGGGGACTGCTAGACACCCCTATGCACTGCTGTATGCCATCTCTAGACAGAAAGCCACGAAGTGGGTACCTGTGGTGCTGGCTGACACTGGCAGAACCTACCCCCCCTCCCCCAGCTCATTCCCAAGGTCAACTCTGGCATGTGAAGAGAAAGGAAGACAGGATACAGCCATTAAGGAGCATTTTTAAAGTTTGTTTTAGGAGAATCAAGAGTTCCTTTTTTGTTTTTTCCATCTCCAAATAAAGCATCAGGCTTCCTTCCCTGTGATCTCAGTCCTGGCCTGAAAATGCTTTCTATTTTAAGCTGGAGGACTATGTTAAGGAACTTTTGTTTGTTTGTTTTGAGACAGGGTTGTGTTACAGCTCGGGCTGTCCTAGAACTCTCTTTGTAGACCAGATGGGCCTGGAACTCACCGAGATCCACCTGCCTCTGCCTCTGCTGGGATTAAAGGTGAGTGCCACCACCACCCTAGGAACTTGATCTTTTATGACAGGCATTTCCAAGGATTTAAAAATGTTTCAGTGTCATACAGTGTAACTGATAAAGTTAACATCAAGCGCATGCAGCTCCTCAAGACATCAGCATCTGTTAACAGAAACTGACACCTCATAGGAGATGACATTAAATACCCTCCCCATTCCCCAGTAGCAAACCAACAGGTATCTTTTAAATATATGTACCCAAGGGCAAGACAGAAGACAGGCTCACTCCTGGTGCCAACTTGAGTCAGCCCACCTCTCTGAGCCTTGGGTTCTTAACTGTTCAGTAAGGGTTGGAAGGTGTCTTCTGACTTACACATTCTAGAGCTGAGGTGGAACAGAAATGCTCTGCAGAAACCAGCCCTGGGCCATCCCAAGATGAGCACTGTAAGCACACTCTGATGTCCTTAGATCTATTAGTTCCTTCTCTACTTTAGAAGGAACCCTCCTTGGGACAGTGAGAACTCACAGGCAAAGGTGCTTCAGAAAATTTCTCTTGAGTCATTAAAGTGATGTTGAAAAATGAGTAATCGAAGAGCTGCTCAGAAATGTATAGATAAGTGAATAAGGTCCCCTCTGTTACACCAATTTTTGCTATTAAGTTTTTTGTTTGGTTTTAAGATGGACTCAGTATGTAGCCCAGGCTGACATTGAATTCAAGATCATCACTGCCAGGACTCCCCACTGCTGGGATTACCAGCAAAGTGATATACTAATTTATATCCTCAGTAAGCATGCAGAGAAGTCATGAGAAGAAAGCCAAGCAACAAAGACACCAGCCACAGCTTTATTTTGGCAAAACATGGGGAAAGGACCCAGCAAGATAAAAAGAAACGAAAAATTAAATTTGGGCCCAAGAACTACAGACATAGAGAAAAACTCAGAGGCTAATCCAGGTCATAAAATGAACAGATGTGTCAAACTTTCAGCATGGGTAGTTACCCTGTGGCATGCTCGCCCACTGGTGTGGAGCAATGTGAACTGCAGTCTTGATACAGAAGCAAACACCACTCACCTCTCTAGCTGCCAGAACAATAGTAGTGAGTTGAGAGCGATCTCCCCATTCCGCCAAGAATGTTAACGTGAGCGCTTGAACAAAAATGGGTGAAATAAAATGCAACCACTTTTTCTGAGGTATTGTTGTGCTTGTACCAGTTTCAACATCTGGTCCATTTAAGAGTTTGGTTCGTTGGAACTGAAACAAGTAAAAATTACCATTAACCCCAGTTAAGTATATCAAAATAGCATAGAGTCACTCAATCCCATTAATGCATTTAAATTGTGTATCATATTCATCAAAGAAAATACACTTCTGCATCCTTTGACTGACTGTCTTCAGCCACCGGCCTCACATAGTATCAGCTTTCCCCCTGCAACAAGACCAAACAGTATGCAGACGCTTAAGAAAGAGGCAGAACTAAGAGTTCCAGGATTCAGACACTCCACCAGCCAAAGAGGCTGACTGTATTTGGTCAACAGTTCCCTCCCTGCCACAAGCACAGTAACCCCAAAGCCTATCAGAGCCAAGCTGTAAGAGCAGAAACGAATCAGGCTAACTCATGGCATGTACCAGCGACAACTCACTTCTTCGTCCTTCTTCTTCAACTCTGCTTGAACTTCTTCCAGCTCCTCCTGACCCTCATCTGGGCTCATCTTCAAACCTTCCCGAAGCATTCTGATGCCAAAAATGGCAAAGAGTGCAGTTGAAACATAGTAGGTATACACCCTGGGGATGACTGTTGTGGCATAGCCAAACAAAACTGTAAGGAAATGCCAAGGCTGTTAACAGGTGTTTTCCACAACACGCCAAAGAAACAGTAACTTGAGAAATCGTAATTTACTTTGTTGAAGGAAAACTGGTTCACATCAGACACATCAAATATGTAATGACCTGCAATACCCCTGCTTCTTGCTTTCCAGAACTGAACCTTTACAATGTCAGAGCTCACTGGCTTTCCAAGGCAAGCATGGCCTTATTACCACTGGCCCTTTCAGATGTGGCCCTCTTCCCCAGTCACGTTCACCTAGGGCCGCCTTCCCCTGACATCTGTGTAGGCACAGTACTTGAGCCAGCGTGACTGTGATGTCCTCTAAGAATTTCAAGACTTTATAAACTGGAAACCACATTCCATTCTGTAAGTTTCTTTGTCATAGATCTTTCAAAGATCAAGAATCATGACAATTCTCTTACAGCACAATTCACACTGTTTTTTTAACCATGTAAATTTAGCATATCTTATGAAATACTAAAAATTCTTTATTAGGTATATGTAGACATACCAATATGGCATATATTTTCTATCTCTTGTTTACTGAAAGGGCCAAGAAATAGACATTTTAGTAACAAATAGCTTTCTTGGGGACTTCTGAGATGAGTCTGAGCAAGCACAGGATGTACCTGTGGTATCTTATGACTAGAAGGTAAGGAAGAGCAAGAACTTGCCACACAGACAATCCCTGGAGAAAGCGCATGTACGTAGGAATGAGAAAGGAGTGTGCAAGGCCAAATTTCACTCGTGGAGCAGAAGCCAGGGTAGGAAGAGGAAAGCATCGAGGGAAAATACGCAAGAATTACACTAGCTCTCTGGGGAAATGCTAGTAAAGGACAGGCATTTGTTGTGTTACAGTGTGTCTCGTAGGCTGGGTATTAGCTGCAAGAGAAGACGAGGGAAGCAAACACTCAACTGGGCAGGCCAAACTACAATGTCAATGAGGAAGAGAACGGATGCCTCCCGCTCCCATGAGACACTCTTTGAGGACACGACACCTGGGCAGCTTCTGGCCAAGAAGATGTAACTTGAGTTTATCCATGTGGAAACAACCCACACAAAAGAGGAAAAACCATGGGGTATAGGAGAGGGCATGACATTATTCTCTAAAACCTGTTGATAGCATAAAACATAATAAAAGTCTAGGTAGTATTTCAAATTAGAAAATAGCAGCTAAATCAAACACCTGATCTTGCCTAGACATTTTACAGGTGGAAACAGGAGCCACAAAGGAAAGAAGTAAGTAAAAAAGGAAAGAAGTATGGTAGATTAAAGTAGTGTGCATCCAAGAGAGTGGGCCCTGCACCCCATATGGGCAGCTGACCCTGGTGTTGGGGATGCAGGTGAGCCAGCCCTGGGGGCATTAGAGTGGGAGAACTGCCCCCGACCCCTGGGCCCCCAACAGCAGTGAGGAGAGTGGGCCCTGCACCTCACCTGGGCAAAACAGTAGAGCTGGCCCTGGGGGTGTGGGTGAGAAGGACCTGGATCTGAGGGCCCGAGAGTGGGAGAACTGGCCCTGCTCCTTGCTGCACGCTGCACTGGGTGATGAGCTGAGGTGGTGCTGGAGAGATGGTCTGGGGCCAGGCTGACCAACCCAGCTATCGTCCAGGCCCAGGGCTGTGCTGGCCCACCCCAACATCCACCTCATCTATGAACTGTTGGAGCCTGTGAAGGGGACGAACCTACAGATCCCAAACAGCAGGACCTCCATGACACAGGACCACAGGATCCACAAGGAGCCCCAGTGAGAGCTCAGTATCAATCGGTGGTGTAGCAGAAGCCAGAGGCCTTGAGCAATGTCTCGTGGCAAAGAAGACTCGCAAGTAAAGATGACTGGACTAAGGGTAAACTGTGACTCAACGGGCCACACTGCAGCTTCCACAACGAGATTCTTCTTTTTGTGTTTTGTTTCTTTGTTTTGTTTGATTTTGGTTTTCCTTTTAAATTTGGTTTTTGGGGGGAGGTTGCAAAGGTAGAGGGAACAGGGAGGGAGGTAAGTGGGATCGGAATGCATGATGTGAAATCCACAAGGAATCAAGTAAAAAAAAAAATACTCGTGTGTGTAGTGTGTGTAAATAAATACACATTATTTGCCTACAGATACAGAACGTATCCAAACATACTCAGAATAGACTGGACGCAAATGCTAAAGCAACAGGGTAAGATACTAACAGTAGGTGCATCTGAGCAAGCAAAGCACATCAGTATTCATTATGCCCTCTTATTCGTGCAGCTTTACACATTTAACACCACTTCAAGAACAATCTGGGGAGGTGGCTCCCTGAGTAAAGCATTTACTGTGCACGCATGAGGACCTGAGTTCGAGTCCGGGGAACCACATACCACAGCAGCACATATCTGGATCTTAGTGCTCACATGGGGCAAGGAGGAATTCGAGTCAGAAGCAGGAGCATCTCCAGAAGCTCATGGGTTCATACACAGCTATGAACATGAGACCCTGTCAAGAGAGAAGGTGAGGACCAACACCACCCTAGACTGTCCCCTTACCTCCACACACACACTATGTAGATATCCACACTTACACAAGCACACACATACAAGATAGAAAAAGAAAAACTACTTCCGTAAAAAAAAATAGTAAGTGTTGAAATAAAACATGGAAAACCCTTTGAAATCCCAAACTTAAATTAATTCTTCTTTTCTCCTCAGCTACAACATCCTCAATTCCAGTGAGTTCCCGAAGACCCAGACATGTCTAAGAAACCCCATTACACTGTCTTCTGGAGGCCCAGACCTCAGAAGCACCATCCCACAACACAGTCTGTGCTTTTGGTTCCTGCGCTCATGTCTCCTCTGCGTCACTACCTTGTGCTCTGGGGCCAGCAGTCAAGTGTAACAAGTTTCAGAAAAGCTGTGTTACCACACCGGAAGGTCGGAAGCTCAAGGCGACTACTGAATAAGGGGAGAGCATAGACTGGGTCCCCACTGGACAAGGATCATGTGTGTCCAGGGAGGGACGAGAGGGATTTCACCACACTAGGGTCAGTGTATGGTACAAACTTGTGAACTGTGTTTCCCTGGAGCGTTCCTTCCATGTAACACTATGCACACTTGGCTGCAGATAGCTGGACCAGCACACACCAGGGCTCGGGTAGGGAGCACTGTGGAGCACCGTGGAGCACCGTGGAGCACCGTGGAGCACCGTGGCAAGCCCCCCTCTTCGACGGGAGCAGCCCCGATGGTGCTTGCTACGCCTGGCTTTCCTCCCTCCTGCTGTGGATATCATTCTATATAAATAAAACACTGATGGCCAGCGACCAGGCAGGAAGTAGGTGGCCAGGCAGGAAGTAGGTGGGACAAGGAGAGAGGAGAATTCTGGGAAGCGGAAGGCTGAGGGAGAGACACTGCAGCCACCGCCAGGACAAGCAGCATGTAGAGATGCCGGTAAGCCACCAGCCACGTGGCAAGGTATAGATTTATAAAAATGGGTTAATTTAAGATAAAAGAACAGTTAGCAAGAAGCCTGTCACGGCCATACAGTTTATAAGTGATATAAGCATCTGAGTGATTATTTTATAAGTGGATTGTGGGACCTGGAGAGAAGCCCTCCAGCAACACCCTCCTTCACTTTTCCTTTGGTTTCTTTTTTAAAACCTTTCTAAGCAGGACGATGGTGAACATCTTTGATCCCAGCGGGGGGCGGGGAGGGTGGGGAGGAGACAGAGGCCGGCTCATCTCTGAGTTCGAGGACAGCTAGAACCACACAGAGAAACCCTGTCTTAAACTGCCAAAATGTAAACAAACAAACAAGCAAACAAACCATTCCTGGCACTCAAACACTTCAGTGGCAACAATTTATCAAGTTAATATTTCAGTTTTCTACACCACTGCTAAATATAAGAGTTAAGGTACTTATACTTCTGTATACAAGACTACCATATATAAAAACAGTACTTTGATACAATTCAGAAAAACTTTTCTTGGTGTACTTGGTGGTTAACAAATGTAAAATAAAACCTTATTGAGTTAGCTATCACTTCATAAATCATTCAAAGTAATTTTCATCATATGATTTGTAACACTCAGGAGTTCTTAACTACTGAGTAGTATGGCTCTAACAAAAATTCTTTAAGATTTATTTATGTGAATACAATTTCTCTGCTATCAAAAAACTTTAAGAATTCAGTTTTATCTTACTTGACTCTAGTTTGTGATATTCATCCACAAACTAATGGGACCAAGTTCTCATTTTTTAAATATGATTAAGTTTGTGATATAGTTACTTTAACTATATACTAATAATCCATAAAATTAAATGTTTAAAGACACAATAACAAAAGGAACCTTCAAAAACCTTTAAAATCCAGCATCATGTGTCCTTTTCTTACGGGAAGATAAACAAGAATGATCCATATAAAGCTTTCAAACAGTCATTACAGTAGAGCTCGCTGAGGAAAACAATACAGGAAGAAACATGTCCCACAGATTTCCAGCTGTTCACATGTGTCCTCAAAGGAATGACCGTGACAGCACCCAGGAAGCCGATAGGATTTAAGATCCCACTGGGCAGATCTTTGTAGTTATCTATCTATCTATCTATCTATCTATCTATCTATCTATCTATCTATCTATCTATCTATCTATCTGATGAGTTTGATGAGTGAGTGTTGGACTCGCATGCCTGACACCTGAAGTGGTCAGAAGAGAGCACCTGATGGATGCCCTGAACTGGTTATGAGGAGGTGCTGGAGGTGCTGGGAGCCAAACCTGGGTCTCTGCAAGGGCAGCAAGAGCTCTCAACTGCTCAACTGCTCCAGCCTCAGATTTTATTATTTTAATCTGAGTTTGAAGTTTTGGGTGTGTATATATAGGAGCGTGAAGGTGTTAGCACATGGAGGCCACAGAAGACACGGGGTCTCTCCCAGACGTGGCGCTCAACAGTTTCAGCTGTCCAGTGAGTACCACTTCTCCACTCCATAAGCTGGGGTGACAGGCACCGGCGGGCAGACGGACCTGGCTCAATGTGGGTGTGAGGAGTTAAACTGCGGTCCTCATGCTCTACAGCAAGTACACTCGCCCACTGAGCCAGCTCCCAGCTCTCCAGCCCGGCACTGGGCATGCTTTACAATGCCGTAACTGGTCTGCTGTATACAATATACCAGAAATGAGGTCTCCGCAACTCCTCAAATTTAAGCTTAAAAAAAAACGAATGTATTTTGGGTAACATCAGATGAAGTGCAAAACGATGTTTAGGTCCCGACAGGGAGATCAGAGGCACCAGGCAGCCCCACAGATGGTAGAGGGTGAGGGAGGCTCCGGAGGAGGACGACAGCCAGCAGAGCAGGGGGAGAGCATGAGGCGCACCCAAGAGCTGGGTGGGCGGCCGGGCTCCAGTTTCCGCTCTCCATTTCCTGCAGTCACTGCTACTTCTTAGACCGTGTGTGTGTGTGTGTGTGTGTGTGTGTGTGTGTGTGTGTGTGTGTGTGTGTGTGTGTGTACACGTACATTCTATTAGAGAAAGAGCGTCACAGTCACCCTTAACTCCCCCCAGGCCCGCTCCCACCCTCTACACACCCAACTTCGTGTCTTTAAGTTAAAGAGCTAATCAAGACCATATATTCCTGGGTACTGGAGAATGGTCGACCTACCAGGGCCACACTCTTAAAGAAAACTGACTCTGCCTCCCCGAGAAGCCATGAGCTGCCCGCAGTTCCAGTTTACACAGCTCCAGGGCTGACAGGCTTGGCCTTGTACAGAGCCCGGCTGCTGTGAGTCCAGCATGCAGGGCTCCTCGTGTCCACTCTGCTCCTCCCGGACCTCAGGCTCTTCAGCCTTCCACCCCCTCTCCTGTGACACATCACTTCTGAAGAGAAAACCTGTTGCTACTGTAAAACATTAATACCCACACTAATTTTCAAATTGTAACTAGTATTCAAATCATTCTAAATATCTAAAATACTCACTTTATGAAACCACAAACTTTAAGCATCAAGGCACCAGAGAATCAGAAACGGACCTTGTTCTACATTTAAGAAATTGGTTTCATAATGGTAAGAGGCAAATGGCAAAGCCCTCCTAATAAATTATCTTATCACTACAGAACAGAAACCAGAAGGTAGGCAAAAACTATTATCTGCACTTCACAGTCAGCAAGCTAAAACTCAGGGGTCAGTTAACTTAATTCACTAGGGATGCCATGGGCAGTCGGTCTCAAACCCACCTGTGGCTCAAAGGGAAATCCATCTTCTAACACACTGGTGGCCTGAGGTAGCTCTCAAGTAGCAACAAATAATGCTCAGTCATTTGAGTGTTAAACGGACTTTCTTATGGTCTAACATCTTAAAATTAGAGCCTATAAAGCCGTAAGTTGAAAAGTAACATGAGCGGGAAGCCTAAAGAATACTTCATTCCACATAAGCAGGGTAAGAAAAAGCTTCATAAAAGGAAGTGCAGGCTGCTTCTCAGAGCTACCACCCCGTGAGCCCCAGAAGAAAACACGCAGTTTGCTGTGGCCTCCTGAACCCCACTTCTAAAACTGCAAATACAAATGAGCTTATCTGGACTGAAGATAAAGAAACAAAAACTGAACTAGACTAAAATGAAGAAATGAAGAATAAAGGCTAGATGGCTCAGTGGTTAGAGCGCTTGTTGCTCTCGCAGAGGTACAGGTTCAGTTCCTCACACCCACACGATGGCTCACAAGCATCTGATACCCTCTTTCTGAACTCTGCACTACCAGGCACACACATGGTGCAAGACACATGCAGGCAAAACACTCCTACACACAGAATACATCAATCTAAAACATAAATGAAAACTAAGGATACAAACACCAGTGAATCAATGACAGGAGTATGTAGCTTGGCTACAAAATTCCACTGAAGAAGTAAAATCTGGGTTTTAATAATGTATATACTGAAACCATTTGCTGTTTACTAAAGTCTGGGAATAAGCAGATTCCAATGTAACTGGGTGCATGATTCAAGACACACATATGCTTTCCCTCAATTCATCATGTTCCCTGGGAAAGCACCCTTACCCGACAAGCATGTCATCAAGGCCAAGGCAAGCATGGCACCAGCCAGCACAGTCAGCCGGTTATAACGCATCGCCATGATGGCCGCTATGAAAAACGTTTTGTCTCCGAGTTCAGACACTATGATGACTGATATGGCAGCGACAAATGCATGGATAAATCCCAGATTCGTCTGGGTAGCAGCATCTTCTCTGTTGGTGTGAACTGGGGCGGCTGCTGTAATTCCTTTCTGGAAATTAAAAAAAAAAAAAAAATTAAGTCACTTAATTGATATTCTTTTAAGTGAGAAGAGTTATTTTTTGTCATACTCATTCCACTGATTTATTACTTTAAAATCTGAATGCCATCAGAAATAACAGTAGCCCATACTTCAGCTCTCTATATAAGCAATTCAGTCTAGACACCATAATTACCTTATTTTCTAAGTATGTGGTAGAGTCAATTCATCGCTGTCTCATTCAAGTTTTCACTAGTAATTTGGGTGAAGACTCAGGTGTGTTTATCAAACATTCATTGGCATGTAGCTGGCAAGACATGTCACTGACACTGTGAAGGACTAACTGGATCCAGGAGGCTCTCAGGCTACAGCCAGAGTTGGCTGTAGCTAAGACAAGGTTTAATAGAGCTGGCTGTGCAGATGGTCCTATGATGAACTCTAAAAATATCCTGGACAGTTAGCTGATAAAAAGGCGAAGCAGTCTCAGTGAATAATAACATGAAAATATGACAAAACTTCATTGGCCTTCCCCAAAGTTGGCTAGAATGTTCTGAAGCCATGCCCTTTAAGAAGGTACTGACCTCTGAAGGTCATGAGAAATGAACAGATTCTAAAACCAGGACTTCGCAAGCTAGTAGAGGCAAACCCAGCCTGTTTACAATTCTAAGAGAGTATAAAAAATGAAGGGAGGAAGTGGGAAGGAGAGAGGGGGAAGGAAGGAGAGTGAAAAAAGGAAAACTATAAAGGAAGATTACACAGTGGAGATTTTACGTGGCCAGCATAGATGTGGCCTATACAATCTAACGTATTTAGTTCCTGGCTCATTAGAAAAGGAAGCTGACTGGGCAACTCAGGTTAATCAGATGAAACACCAGGAAGTTCAGCGTGTCTAGGTTTCAGTATTTGGTAACGTTATTATGTGGCTCTATCTACACTCTATGTAACATTCTCAATTCTTATTGTAGACACGACCACTCAGTGCATGACATAAACGTGACTTAATACTACAGGGCATATCAGAACTGTAAGAATGACCTGGTCTAGTGTAGACCTCCGAGCTAAAACAAGGAAACCCTGTAGTCCTGGCAGCCAGCTCTTAATTAAGCAGGTACCATTTTAAAGGGTCTCTCTCCATCAGCACTTTAACTCTATCTATGCTGATATTCCTTTAAAACAAGCTTATAGCTGGTCCAACAGCATTCCAAAAGACATAGGCACTTCAACTAAGACATCCTAAACACAGTATTTTCCTGCTGGAACCTCACCAATCCTCCCCACATTACCCTCTTTCTGTATGAGACAGGGTCTGGCCATCGTGCTAAGGCTGGCCTGGGAGTCACCTGCCTGTTGCATCCTCCTCCTAAGTCCTGGGGTTGATTACAAGCATCAACTACCACACACAGCTGAACTGTTTATATGAAAAGACTTCACAAAATTTCAGCATCTTAAGTCCAAGAAAAATTTCAGGAGTAAATATATAGCACTTAATATCACTTGGCTCCAAAGCTCAAAAGAGAAAATTTTACATTTTAAATCAAATCACAGGAGAGAGAAATGTTTCATATTTTTTGTGGTTTTCTAAGCCTTAAGTCCTTGGCCAAGTTATTTAGTCTGTTCTCTATGAAATAAAGAATCAAGTTTGCCTGAAGAATACAATAAAGGGAAGGAGCTGGAGAGATGGCTCAGGGCTCTTCAAGAGGACTCAAGTTCAGTTCTCAGCATCCACACAAGGCATCTCATAACCACTTGTACCTCCAACTCTACGGGATTAGACACTCTCTTCTGGCTCCCACAGGCACGAATGTGGCATACATTCACAAATACATACACACACACAGATGCACAAAAAATAACAAATGAAAAAATAAAAAAGGAAACAAAGTAAAACTCAATCCTCCATATTCTCAAAGCTTTTCTGCATAGAAGACTAAAAGGCACTAAAACTACAAGTTTATTAAGCCAGTCTGGGATGATCAAAAAATGAAGTCTCAGGATGATATGAAGACAAAGATTTTTAAAAATCAAGTATCACAGATGTCCCATATGGGGCTGGGCTACCCACAATCACTTATTCTCTGTATTCTGACCAGTTCAGGTATCTGTAGTGTGGGGGTGGGTTGGGGGATGGTGTTCCATGGTAGCTTTCAATCTACCTCAGGTTTTTATCTTCTATTCTGTTCTTTAGTTTTAAAATAAAAACTTAAAAGAAATCAGTAACACCTAGTACCAAATCTAGGGACTACTGTATTGTCACTAATCTCATACCCCTCGAATTTATCTTGACTCTTTAAAACTTTTTTTAAGGTACAAGTACTATCTCAAAATTTAAACTTTCTGTTTTGACATTAATGATATTATAAAGCACTAACTAATTCTAACCTTAGGTTTCAATTCATGTAGCTTCTGTACATGATTTCAGGCTTAAGTTTAAACAGATATTTAGAAATTAAGCTTGGATATCCCAGATGTATTTTAGAGATCCTGGTCCTTTAACTTCCTTAGGATTTACAGCATATGACATGTAAATATGTTTAGGTTTTCTGCAGTGAACGTTAAACATTCCTAACATCGATCTCTGAGGTCTCCAAAAGGATGCTGACGATGGGGCCCCACAATGACCATTCCACCTGGATTGTGGTAATGCCACTGATCCGATAAACACCACCCAAAGATCAGCGTTGGACCACAAACTGCTCAGGATAATTCCAAGGTGGCTAGCTGAGATGCACTACTCCCAAATGATACAGCTAGCTCTCTCAGGACTAGACCATTATCTCAGTTTTTTTTCAGGGTCCACCAGAGATGCCAATGCCGCCCCCCCCCCTCCAGACAGCAGGAAGTAATTTTAAGAACATGACGTCCACATTCCCAGTGGTGGAGATGGATAGGTTTTAGTCTTTCAATGGGTTATGGATATCTGTCATCGTGTAAGGGGAGTTGTTTACAAGTTGTTATTGAGTATGGTCAAAAAGGGGGGGGGGTAGATATGATTATTAAATCTACTTTCAAACTAAAAAAAAGCAACTAATAGTCTTAAATATTTTACATTGGTATGGATTTTTGTATATTGATACAAATTTAAGGTTATTTTGCTATACTGTATATGTTGCTACTTCTGTTTTGTATGTTGATACAATTTAAGGTTATTGTCCTTATACTGTACCTTTGCTTCTATTTTTGCTCAAGGCATTACATATATAGCTTGTACCTATACAGCTTGTCAAATTATGCAATGTAAAGTTTTAGTCCTTAAAAGCTTTCCAGGATAATGAAGAAATATAGGCTAAAAGTCACCCATATCTATCAAACTTATTGCCATGTTAATTAGGTTTTCTAGGTATACAGAGATATATTTCAGATAGATAGGTAATCTTCAGATACTTCAAAGACCTACAGAATATGGCCACTTAAAGACATGTCTGCTCCTGGCGGCACTGATCTACTTCTAAAGATGGGTATCGAAGAAACTCCATATGGAGTTTGCTTTCTTTGTGGCAAAAGCTAGCCATTAGGGCAAGGAACTGGCCTTGCCTCAACTGCTGACAGTGTGCTGTCCAAACTGGACAAGCAGGACACAAAGAAAGGCAACTGCCAAACTTGGCCAAGACAGGGTAGGACAGTCCTTCAAATTTTCCTGCTTCTGAAAAAAGTCTGTCATATATTCTAGGCCTGTAGGCCAAAGATGGATGCCCCAACATTGCAGAGGAACCTTGGATGGCTGTCCAGGCACCAGCTGTTTCTGTCATTTCTCACATTTTTTGAAAGTTGCTTGCTTCGACTTTCTGCTTACTCAGGTGATATTATTTCCTTCTCGGGTCTTTGACGGAGTTGAAGACTAGACAGTTATAGTTCTCCCAAATCTTGGCAAAAGTTATGTTAGGAACAAAACTTTGGACTCTTAAGGAGAGACAGACAATGGAATAATCTCTATAAATTTGCCAATTACTTATGGACTGGACATTGAGAATGTATTTCTTACTTGATAATTGTTCTTGTTGTATGCAGTGTCATTTTTGTTAATTTCCTTTCTATCTGGACAATACTTGATAATAATTCTTATTGTATATAGTTTTACTATGAGAGACTTAGAACCCTTCCCTTTTTATTAGACAAAAGGGGGGAAATGTTGCGGAGTTTCTGTGTATGCTGTTGGTCCACTGCTCAACTGAAAAGAGGTGGAGTTTCCAGTCAACTGTCTGGAATGGACCGATGAGTCTTAAAGGGCCTAAAAGAGAAAGAGTGACCGGAGGGGAAGAGGTGGGGCCGGGAGGCCATGCAGCCCTCTTCAAGCCAGGAAATGGCAGTGGCAGGATTTTTCTACAGTAGCTTTCAACCCATCTCAGGCTTTTATCTTATATTCTGTTCTTTAGTTTTAAAATAAAAACTTAAAAGAAATCAGTAACCAACTGTAAAGAGCGTCTTATGCCTAGAACACAACATGCAAACCTTTATCTGTGTCTACTCCATATTCCCCATCTAATCACACCAGTTCCCAAAACCTTCTCCCGAAGAAGCCAGAATAGCAGCACTAAATGCAAAACACCACAAGCTGGAAAATTAGCCTCATAATGTACTTTTATATTTTCTCGTTTAAATTACCCATTTTACAAAGTAAAAACAGGTAAGATTATTTGAGAGATCAATTTAACCCAATACATCCAAACCACCATTAACTTATAAGCAATGTTTTTTAAATTGCCACGAAGTATTCTAACATTGTTTTTCATACTACTTTTAAAGTGGTAGGCTATATGCTGATCCCTCCCCTCAGGGCTCAGTCATGGGCAGTGCAGTTTGAGAGCGCATCGGCTGCTGCTGACCACACCCTCAGTCAGTCAGACTTCCTTCCCCAGTGCCTTCATTTTGCCCCATTTGTCCAGGCCCCTCAAACCCAGCTCAAAGAGAACGCTGTAAGCAAGGTTTATCTGGTCCAGCCCTTGCATCCCAGGCCCCTGAAATCCAGCCACATGCACACCATGACAATGTGTCATAGAAGGGGTGAGAGCCACAAA